GATGCCCCATCCCTGGAGGTGTTCAAGGCCAGGTTGGATGTGGCTTTGAGCAACCTAGTCTTGTGGAAGGTGTCCCTCGCCATGGCAGGGTGGCTGGAATTAGATAATCTTCAAGGTCCCTTCCATCTCTAACCATTCTATGATTCTCTGAAATTTGGGCATATGTGCCTTGTATCAGGTAAAAATCACTGGAGAGGTCAGTGATCACCATCTACTTCATGTTACAGAAAAGTCCAAAATGATAGCTCACCTAGAAGACAGTAGATATTTTCCCTGCTTACTCACTTACTTTGTGTTTTCTCTCTTTATTTCTTGGAGCCCCAGAAAGAATCAGTCCTCTATTTGAGTCTCCTCCTGTCCAGTAAGAAAAGTCTACCATTCTAGATGACAAAAATTTGAGTTCATAGGACATCATGTCTGCACCAGGGACAATGATAGCGAGCTCTGAAACCTTTATGCTACTCACGGATGCACATTGGAGGTGGAGTCCAACCATTCTCTTTACACTGTATCACTCCTGTTTCTTGTCCTTCCGGAGTTACAAAGCCAGAATGACAACGATAGCTGACCTTGTCCCATAAACGGAATGTTTTCTTTTCCACGGTGAAATAACCATTGTCAAAATTGATATTCTGGCATTTTTCTGAAAGAGATGGATTTTTTTCCAAGTAAAACACTGCTAAACTACATGCTTGTAATACACAGAAGAAGGAGGACAAATGAAACAGCAGTAGGATTTAGAAAATTTTGAAGAGCACATGAATTTTTGCTTCTGCATTGAGGTGTCTTCCTGAGGGACAGCTGGAAAGTGAAAAGTCAAAGTTCACAGTTACCAACTTGTGCAGCACAAATAGGGATGGACAGAGGTTTGATGTGCGGCAATCCTACAAGCTTCCAAAACCGTATGCCCACATCTAGTCTTCACTAGAAATGAAATTCATGTTGGGCATTCACTGTACTGTGCATGCATAAAGAGGAACTTCTCTCTGTATTGTAAGGGGACACACACAAAAGATCACCACGGTGTGCAGGTACCACCTCTGTTCTACCAAAGAGAAATCGGAGTGCACATACTGTAGGACTAAAGCAAATTTGCAGCAAAGGACCTCTTCTTGTACACTAAAACACTAGTGCAGACCAATCCAACGTTGTAACTGATTTCACATCACTTGGAATACATTGTTTAAGCCAGTCTAAATGGATAGAAATCAATCATCTTGGTTAGATATTATGGTCTTGTATTCTGAAAGAAAATTTTCATAGTATGCTAAATTCTTTACTAATACAACATTCTATGAAGGAGTTTCTTCATTTTAAGAAATTAACACTAAACCAAATAGTAATATTTGCACATTAGAGAGTCAAGATATGGAAAAAAAAAGACTTTGATGACACACTAGAGGATATATTTGAATGTTGGGAGCGGAGTTAATGATACTTCAATGCAACAGCTTCAAAAGTTTAAATTTCACATCACATTTTTTTTGTGTTTATACCAGTGATGCCCACAACTACCTAACAGTAGGAATCATAAAATTTTATTTTGCTTGCTTATTGCTATTTCAAAATCTCAGTAGGTGGCAGTCCAAAACATTCCATGGTTGGTGTCTCTATCACAAGGTGGAATTGTTTCCTAAAAAAACATTTTTACAGTCCAAGAAAAGTTAGGTTGAATTATTTCCTTTGTCCATATGAAATCATTATCTAAAGTATTTAAAGTTCCTGTGAGACATTCTAGCAATTTCAGGGTTGGTGCAAGTCAGGAACAAAAGTTGGAAACACAGTTGGAAGAGGTAACCTTCCTATTTCTCACCCCTTCCAGTATGATACCAACTGGGAAGAGAAACAGGCATCAGGCGGCATAGCAAGAGACTGAAAGGAGACAAGAAATTACAGATAGGCGCAAGGGAAATGACTACTATTTATTATATTATTGCACAGCTATGTTATAACAAGATTTCACTACTGAAGACAAATGATTCCCATCCCAGGGCTTACATTCAAGGAGATCTGAACGAGCCACGTATGGACATTTTACAGGGCTACGTTCTGCACTTTTGTATAGTGACTGACCTCAGCAGCATACAGGGCCATGAGAGCTGCATGAGCCAGTTGAGAGAATTAGAGCATTGTGTTTCAGTTTTACAGCACCTAGACTTAGAGCTACTAAGCAGAGGTGACGGATTAATGTAGGTGATGTGATGATGAATTTACTGGTTTTAGCTAGGAACCTCAACAAAATACAAGCACACTCACTTTCACGGATACATCTTGGAGGAGGTGACCAGTCATCCTTTGTACATGTGACTTCTCCACCTTCATGTTCAGTATGAAAGTCATCGTTGCAAACATATTTAGCTCTTTCACCTTCCTTGTAAACATTCTTCTGGCTACGTGTGAAATAACCATTTTCCAGACTTCTGACAAGACATTTTTCTAAAGAAGGAAGGTAAGTACGTTTAACCACAGTAATTTGTACAGCAAGAACCGAGGTAAATTAATTCTTAGGAAGACAGTTACCAAAAAAGGGCCTCCTAGCACATTTCTGTATCCTTCAATCCCCAAAAGACATTCGTGTTCAAACCTGAATGAAAGCATGTTTTGTTTCACTGCCCTAAAAACTAAGCAACTACAAGAACAGGAGTGCAAGTCACTACATAAATTGCTAAGAAGTGGTAGTAAACAATATCACTTACCTAGTATTCATACGCAAAGTTGGCCAACTTCTAGCATGGTGCACGCCAGCTCTGGTTTGGTCTGCTATGTCTCTAAAGTGTTGATGTCTGCCCTGAGTGATTTTCAGCATTTGCCTCCAGGATATTTCTGTGCAAATGTATCAGCTTCTCAAACCAGCTCTAGAAATGTTTGCAGCAGCTAAGCACTCTGGCTCTATAGCATCCTGTGCCGCCAAGAGCTCAGACACAAGGAAGATGGCTAAAGGAATGCTATAGCTGTGTTACTTGAGTAACTGGTCCTTTCCTCTGGGGAGAGCTCCACTCATTTCCTGCACTGAGCACCACTCCACTGAGGGCAACAGGGAAAGATCAACCTTTTGTAATCCACTTCCAAGCCCTACCAGTAGGTAGGAACTTTACTGTGACTGAAGATGTGTGTTAGGAGAGGAGGCCTCAGCTCGCTACTTTAAATCCATTTTCTATAGTTCAATCATTAAGTCAGTGTATCTGGACCTCTTGCTGTTGCCATGCTCGCTTTCAGCTTATTGCAAGAGTGTGTCACCTTCTCAGCTCCAAAGGTTATCCAAAAGGACCAGGGAATGGATCTCAGAGAGGAACCTCTAGACAAAGTGCCCAAGCTATGGAAGGAAGAATATATTTACATAGAGTAGAAACCCTCTGTTTGTATGTGCAGATGAAAGTAGATGCATGCACGTGACTCAGAAGGCAGAGAAAAGAAACATTTCCTATGTATTTCTTATTCTGATGGATAGTTTCAGGAGTAAAGAATCTCCAAAATCCAAAAGCATCATTTCAGCCTTACTCACTTCAGAGTGTCACTTACTATCTGACAGTTTGAGCTCTGCAGATAGGAGGACAGTCTGGGTGCAGTTCCAGAGGTCAACTAAAGCAGTTCTACTTTAAAGAAAAACAACTGTTCTTTATTCCATGTGCTCCATCGACACAATTTCTGCTGCACAGAACTTTGAAAATTATAACAGAGTTAAACATATAGTGGAAGTGTACTTACTGAGGCATTTTGGCTCTGGAGACCAGCCCCTTTTTGTACAGAACATTCGAACCCAGTATTCTCCATTCGGGGTTGAATAACCGTAATTGCAGTAGTAATCAGCATGCTGCCCAAACCCCATTGGAAAGTAAGAGTGTCTGTTGTATTCCAGCGCTCCACTTAACTTGCCGTTTTCTATAATTGGGTAGTCACACGGTTTCTCTTGAAATAGAATATAGCAGCAACAATATCAACACTTGCATGACAAAAAGCTCAAGACACTATTAATTCAGATTCAGCTTCATCATCTGAGTGCTTTCTGAAACTGACAGAATCAGGACTACACCGTGGGAGATCCTGAGGAGTGTGGAACAATTGAACTCTGCTTCTGGTGCCTTTGTCATTACCTCTACCCACGTTGGTTCCCGCTGTTTCCATTGCAACCAACAGAAATCCAGTCAATACTCTCAGCGGACTCCAAAGGCTGATTCATGAGACCAAATGTAAGTATTTATTCTAGGGTGAGATGACACTGTCTTTGTAGAGTGTCTTGCTGAATGTACTATACTGACCATGACGGGAGCCCAGACAGCTAGCTCAGATATAGACACTGAACTGTGGACTCTTAAAATTGAGATGACTCCTGTTATAATTGTCATTTGTAACTTTTGGGATTCTGCACCAGAAGCTCTTCCTAGCTCTCCTCATTTTTATTTTAAAACTAAAGTTGTTTTCTTTTGTTCTCTCAGTTCCTCAAAATAACTGACAGTTTTCAGAGACAAGTCCAGGACAGAAGGAGGAGAATCCCAAAAGCTTTCATTCAAGTTTACCCATGGTGTCCTATTTGGCCATGGCAGGTAGGTTCCTCCTCTGGCTCACAGCCTACATGCTCTGGCAGGGGAGATCACCCATTGGACAGACCAGGTTATAACTGGTAGAATAAAACTGTGATTGTTCTTAATATACCGACATAAAATTGCAAATAAAAATCTAAAGCTGTGGTAACTATGACGAAAGCTACCAGCCAACCATTACAGAATCACAGGGTTTGGAAGGGACCTCTGGAGATCATCTAGTCCAACTCCCCCGCCAGAGCAGGTACCCTTACAGCAGGTTGCACAGGACGGCATCCAGGCGGGTTTTGAATGTCTCCAGAGTGGGAGACTCCACAACCTCTCTGGGCAGCCTGTGCCAGTGCTCTGCCACCCTCAAAATAAAGAAGTTCCTCCTCAGGTTTAGATGGAACTTCCTATGTTTGAGTTTGTGCCTGTTACCTCTTGTCCTATCACTGAGCACCACTGCAAAAAGACTGGTCCCATTCTCCTGGCACTCTCCCTTTAAGTATTTATAAGCATTGATAAGATCCCCCCTCAGTCTTCTCTTCTCCAGACTAAAAAGACCCAAATCTCCCAGCCTTTCCTCATAAGAGAGATGTTCTAATCCCCTAATC